CCGCATTACTTTCTTGTCTTATTTTCGTACAGAAGCTCAGTTTAGTGAATCATGTCTGCCTTTCTTTACTGGAATATTTTCTAAAATATCACTACAAAAAGACAGTAGCTTCCAGTAAAACCATTTAGCTCTGAAATGGGTAAACATGCTACATTTATAGTTTATGGTAACTTTAAACCAAAGGGTTTGTAAGGAACAAGCTGTACTAACTTGGTGAAGGCAGCAGCAAACGGAAGTTTATAGACTGCATGTCAAGGAGATAAATGTTAACGGATGGATGTTCTTAGGAGATGTTCCAAGGACATATGTTAATTAAAACAGAAAAGAGGAGTTAAAAATTTATTAAATGTCCCATACCTCCTCCTTCCCAGGTCAGGCCGCTCAGGTAATGTAGGTTTTTTCCCAAATAGTGCATAGAGCTGAGATGACTCAGCAATGTCAAGACTCAGGCAATTCTGGTTCTGCCCAGAAATACACTTTGATGTGTCTAGAGAATTTTACTTGTGGAAACTTCAGTGCTTGGGACTTTAAATATCACCAGGGTTAGATAATAGCTGGGTGGCGCTTTTGAAGGTCTAAATATTGATTTAGATGTCTACAGTGGCCCTTAGGCCAGTGGTTTTCAACTTTTTTGTATTTGCAGACCCCTAAAAATTTTCAAACAAAGGTGCGGACCCCTTTGGAATTTCAAACGGAGTTGCAGAGCCCTTTGAATTGTAAGTGTGGGTATTCACATACTTTTGATTGATCGTAGTCATCTTTGATGGACCCCTTAGCTATGGTCTGCAGATCCCTAGGGATCTGTGGACCGCAAGTTGAAAACCACTGCAGTAGGCAGCACTAAGACATCCTAGACCTTTTGTAGTTCTAGTCCTTTCATGCCTAACTCTTAGAATCAATCGATAAGAGCTGAACCCTTTTGTGCATTAAAAAAAAAAAATCACAGGTGTCTATCTGCATTTCATGCCTCTAAAAATATTTAGGGGGGTGGTCCCCACTGACTTGGATGTTCAGGATGTCTGATAAATTGGCTTTCAGTGTCACTAGATAGGTGTGGAAAACTAGCACACACTTTTGATGTATCTAACAGCACATACAGAAATAGGAATAAATCCCGAATTACCAAACTGACCCCTAGCTCCTGCTCTAACAACTGCAAAATACAAATGGCCTATCAGCCAACTATGTAAGCTAATTTATTTTACCCCATTTCATAAATCATTCTTGAGGGAACAGAGTGATAAAAAGGAAAAAAAAAAGAAATAGTGCAAAAATAAGCAGGTGCCTTTGTACAGCTCTACTAGGACACAGCTGGGAATCATCAGGGTATTGGATCTATTTGCTAGCTTTTCACTTTTAATTAGTAGTGAAGGTTTTCTGTTGGTCAGGCTTATTAGCAAATATAAATTTATGAGAAGTAATTACAGGCTGTAGATAAAGGAATGATCTCTTTTAAAATTATATTTAAAAACAAAGTCTTCAAGTAGGTGAAGAGAATGTGGGGGAAGAAAGAAACCTTAAATCAATCATTTGAGCCTTGTAGTCAAAACCAGGGTGGGACGATAGTTTCTTTAACTACTATGGTATGTAAGAGTCCTGCCAAAAGTTTACTTTGGTTTCTACAAATTGGCAGTGAATCATGAAGCTTGTAAACCGTACAGGCCTATACTAGAACTTCCCTTTGCTCAGCTAAAGACAGCAGTCAGCTGTGGATGAAG